AGCGTGGTGGCAGCAAGATTTTCTTCCTTAGAAGTTTAGAACTCCTCAGTCGTTATTATTACACACATGATGTACAGTGTTTTGCATTTATTAACACTAAGTTACACCTGGCACTTTAGCACTTAGCTACTCAGTAGCAAAAGACCTTTCCAAAATTCAGCAAAGAAGCTTCAGATTTAACCAGCCTGAATATATAGTGCTTTCAGCAGAAAGTCACAAAGTAAGTCTTAAAAACATTCTTTGGATTACTGAGTCCAAGACCTTCCTATGCCTAAAGCCCAATATTTCTTCCCAGTCTGTGGCTTGAGTAGTTTATACAGAAAAATTTTTCACTTTATTACCTTATTCTTGTTTCTGAGTTCTTGTGAAAGTAGCAACAGAAGACCCCAGAATGACCTTCTGAATGTGACTGCTTAGAGGGATGTGGGTGTCTTTTCTTTGCATCCAGTTATATATTTGAATGTAAATTGGTATTAGGTAAGAATATGTAATGGTATATTTCGATTTACATTTTCTATATTTGGAAGAAAACCAAGTCCTGATAGCAACAGGAAGAGCTGAAAATAGAAACAGAGGCTAAGCGTGAAAGCATTTTATATTGTGCCTCTTAAAAATGCAAAGTTTGACTATACAAAGTGGCCAATACAAAAGGGTTACCACCATCACCATGTGTCTGTGGTTTTGGGAGTGATCACTGCTGCAGGGCTTTGTACTGTTCTAATGTGTCTGTGAGGCTTTTTAGGAAAACCCGACTAGAACCCTACAGGGATTTAAGGATGGAGACTATTTAAAAGATCTGAACAGCTTTAGGTGCAAAATAGACACCAGCACACTTTGCTTGGAGACCATGACTGTTCCAAGTACACATACAAGCTGATTTTTAAGCACGTAGGAAACTCTGTGCTCTCCAGATTTTGCCAGCAGGTTCAGATGCCTGAGAAGATAGGACTGTGATCCATGTTAGATACAAGTATATTTAAAAACCTGTGCATAACCATAATTACCATCTTAGGCACCCAAACTGCAGTTAGAAGAAACAGCGCAGTATAGGCCCTTATCACAGCAAGAGACTTCCAATATCAGATTAGAGCATATTAAAACATATGCAAATTCCCATTTTTAAAACATATGGCCATTCTCAATTTTAATGCAAGGGCAACAGAACTATCACTCTTAAAAAAATATTAAGTATGAAGATTAAGACTGAACTAATCATCATGTAACTTTTAACTTGCATCTCCTATGAAGCCTGTATTTTATATAGGCTATATGGTACTATAAAATGTACAGCAAGTTACTAAAATTGTGCATGAGACAGAAGATCAACATCTTAATATATCCTTTTGGAAAACAGACAGATGTATTGTTTAGTCTAAAATGATTTCACAGACCAAGCTTATGTGACTTATAAATTTATTATATTACTGCATGAAGAGTTAAAAAGACTAGTACAATGCTTAAGGCTGAAATTCAACCCTATGCAGAGGAACTAGTGAGAGATTCATATACTACTAAAGTACTACTAAAGCACTGCTTCCAAACAGGCAAGAAACAGACCAATACATAAAGCATCAGTGGTGCTAACAGTGATCCTAAGAGGAACTCCTCTTAGGAAAAAAACCTTACGGAAATTATCTTATGAAAGATTTCATTGCCAGGGTTTGGGTCTAGACACTGACTGCAAGAAGCATTTTCCCTGATACTTTTCTGGATTTAAGTGTAGAAACACATTGTTTTCTTAAGAAGCTGCCTTGAAGGGTGAAGTTGAGAGAGAGAGAGGGAGAGAGAGAGAGAGAGAGAGATCAAAAAAATGGGAGGTTTGAGGGGCAGGGTAGAACTACAACATGATTTTCATTAAGTGTCTTCAACACCAAGACAAACCTGTATTACTGATATCTTTGTAGCACTTTACAAAATGTACACTATATATATTATATGTGCATATAAAACAGTATTATTTCAATCACTAAGTTCTTCCTCATCACTGAAATAAGCACTTTTCTTAATCCGTGGACGTTTTGAATCATCTGAAATTGAAGATTCCCCTGCAGTCTGCGTCCATCTTTGTTGCTCTTCCTCAATTTTGGCTTGCTACAATGAAAATGAAAAGTATTAGCTAGGATTAAGAAAAATTAAGATGCATTACAAATAATAATGCTAATTATTAAAAAGCATTGAATTATTTAATGAGTTAAAGAATTTAAAGGGTTTATCTCAATTTCCAGATAAACTGTGCGATGAATGCATTAGAAAACATTTCTGAAAGTAGTTCTCGCGTGCAAACAGTAAGTTTTCTGCACCAACGCAGGCCACATGGAGTACGCTCTATTTTCCAAGAGAGGAACTTTGCACCTGGCAAACTTGCAGAACTATAGAGCAGCTTAGATCTGAAGCAAAGAATGCATCGCATTTTAAATTGACATTATTGAATCAGCTTTGTTCCACTAACAAGTCTTCTATCTGTTGGCTTTTGCAGTGATTCATTCAGGAAATTAATGTCTTCAGGAATGGAACGTAAAGGTTATTCAACTAAAGGTTTAAATAGATGCTTCCTATTTTTACTGGGAAACATGCTATCTCAGTTAAAATCTTTGGATGGTGAGAGAAATGGGAATGTTTCCTGGCTTGTTTACATTTATAGGTTTTACTTCCAATTGTGGAGTTCTCGGAGGGTGTGTAGGGGGATAATGTGCATATTTGCATCATTTTTTTGGACTACATCATGTAAAAGTTTTGCACTCATTACAGTCATATTCAGGACAAAGTTATCTTAGAAACTCTGAGGGTTTTTTTGGGGGAACAGGGGCACACAGGGGACAGCTGAGGACTAGGGAGCCATGAAATTTGAACATCGGGTCAGGCTTGCTCTGTGTAGTGAAGCAAAAGCCTGTAAAGAAGTATTAAAGAAGATAGTAATACCGCTGTCAGACTATCTATCTACATAACAAAAAATGCATTAAATATGTTTTCAGAGAAGAGGTCTATTAGAGACTGCAATGGACTGTATTAGGCAAAGGAAGTGCTCCAGAAATAGACGTTGTTCAAAGATATTCTAGTGAGTGAGGGCAGAGGATGTACCTGGTCATTTATACATCACTGTTCTTCCGGTTGCTCAGTTAACAGAGTAAAGAGGGATTTGTGGACCAGAAACCTAATATAGCATCACAGCAGAGATGACAGGAAACTAAGCAGCAAAGGAGCTTGAAGGAAAGAAAGAATCGCAATGCACAAACACAGCACTAGTGAAACAGTAAAAAAAAAAAAAAAAAGAGACAACTGAACATGCCTGCAATATGAAGAAACCAACTATAGTCACCAACTACTGTCAGGGAAGGGTGCCCCGAGTGCTACAGAGTGGACAGACTTACGTATGTATCTCAGAGCTTTTGAGAAGCAGCTAAAAAAAGGAAGTAGAGTTGCATTTAAATAACAGTAAATACACACTGCTTCAATTTTGTACCTGAAAAGCTATGGCTTGGCTGAGGCTATCTAGAGCAGGGTCTTCTCCTTCCTCTTCGCTTTCTTCTTCCTCCTCACTTCGTTGTGCAGAGAGAGAAAAATACATAGATCTTTATTTTAAGTGTTCAGTATGAAAAAGCTGCCTAAAAGAAGTATTAACACACAAATAAATATACATACACTTCTTCTGGCTCAACTATTTTTTTTCTCTTCTTCTTTTCTTTTTTTTTTGGTGGCTCCCGCTCTCCCAGCATATTTTTAGGACAAGCATAACTTAAGTGTCCTGCTTCCTTGGAGAAAAAGAAATATTGCTTAACAGAAACCCTTACAAACAACTATATGTTGAAACATATCATGAGGAAAGTTAATGTAAGACAGTTCACGGGGGAAAAAATGGAAGCAATTAGTAAGACAAATGGAACGCTGAATTAGCACACAGAAGACAAACTCTTCTCTATAAGCTTGCCATGGAAACAAAGAGATCAGTGGCGATACGCATGTTTAACTGCAAACTGAGAACAAGCTATGAGCAAAGTAGATTTTCTCTGGCTGCTGCAATAGCTGAATACACTACAGCACAGTTTATGTTCAAGACAAGATATAAACCTCAGCATTAACAGTTTAAGAAATAGGAGTAAGTCAGCACTTTTGCTCTCAAAAGTGTTATGAATATAAATCAAGTTCGTATTTGATGTTAAATACTACCCAAATTTCAATCTCCTATGTTATTATATTAAGGAAAAGTGAGGAATTGCCTGAAATTTAAAACATGCTTATTCTGTGTAAAAACAGTTGTTTCCAATATTTATTTAACTGCCAACTATATCATGAACTCTCGCAGATACAGCAAAAGCAGGTATTTTGAAGCAAAGATGAGGAGGTTTTCCTTCTCATACAGCTTTAAGCTGATACTCGTCTCTGTCTGCTCATCAGCATGTTAAGCAGCAATTATAAGCACATATTTTCCCCCACCCCCAAAATCTCAAATAAAAGACAAAAGGTGTACTGTCATTCTTGAAAATGGTACAACTGCTATACAAGTTGATAGTATCAACAGAAAAATTTATTTTAACACCACGGGCAGGATTAGCAATGGCCAAACTGAAGAAAAAAGCTGGAATAGAGTAGTTAATTTTTGGTTTTACTCACCCCACATTCGTAACACTTGGACTTATCAAAGTAGTTACGCCTGCGAATGAATTCTGCTGCTCTTCCATTATCAATGGCAATACTTGCTTTTATTACTCTTCCAAACAACTACAACAAATTGGAAAAAAAGGTAAATATTTTGGGGCTGTAAACCCAACCCTCCTACCAAAACAACTTTCCACAATTTACCTGTTTGTTATTAAGTGCCCGAGAACAGTTTTGTGCAGATTCTTTATCCAAAAACAAAATAAAGGCAACTCCTTTGCTCTTCCTGGTGTCTTTGTCTTTCATAATAGTAACTCTGAAAACATATAACCACATTATTGACACACTAAAATTACTTCAGAGGTATTTTTTCCTTAAAGATCTCAGTGGGATCTTAGCTTTGTTATACAGCAAAAAGAAAATAAAGTACATTTAACAACAGAAAGGCTCATTAAACAGAAATTCAAAGGAACGGCTAACCAGGCCATGTGCTTACAGGTAGAGCGGAGATGATTTTAAAAAGTATGTGGGGGTCTTTCTGGGTCCAGTATCATTCTTTATTCCCTTGGATGACTTGAAGAACAGAGAACATACTCTCCAGATTTGCAGACAACCTAACTGGAGGGAACTACACATATTGGAGATGAAATTAAAATTCAGGAGTAATCTTGACAATTGCTATCGTTGCTGAAGTATACAGTATATTGAACTGCATCCAAACTGAGAAGTCTATATTTCTGTAGGACCGACCAGTTAAACAGGTTCACGATAGGAAACGATAAGTATATGCAGTACTGTTCTACAAATGTCTCCAGCTGGAATCCAAGCAGGTCATGGATGCATGTGTTATTTTACATGACATACAAACAAAATCTTCAGTCTAACATTGGAATCAACAGCTCCAGTAGCACATCAAGAAATTCAAGAAAGATTTAGACCCAGTAAAAGCAACAGACAAAGAAAAAGAATGACAAGAGGTGAAGGGGGAGGGGACACCCACACAACCTCAATTCTGTCAATCTTAACATCAATTGTATTTAGCCCTAAAACCCCCCCCAAAACAGTGGGAAACAGGATGCCAGTCTGCATGTACATAAAAATAAAAGTACATGTTAAAAAGTAGGGAATAAACTCCTCCTTGTGTCCACCATGGGCAGAACAAGGCTCAGCCATAAAGTAAGCCAAAAAGTAATAGGACCTTTTTCCAAACAAACCCCAAACAAACCCCGCTTCAATGCAGAAGGCCTACCAGAGAACCTGTATAAGTAACAGATGACCTACATAGTAAAAAGTGTATAAAATAAGAGCTCAGTAAAGAAAGCTCAATTTCCCCCCAAATATATGCACAGAAAGATAGAGCTTAGAACAGTTTTTCTACCAAAGCCTCTTGGACAAGGATGTGTCCAATTAAATGCATTGAGTTGAAGTAGCAATAAAACCGACTTTAGAACAATTCAATGAATTCTTTTGCCAAGTTACTCTTCCAAGAGTTCCAACGGAACCCTAATATGACTGTCAAGCTTCTACTTGGGATATTGAACGTACCAGTTAATAACACAAGCGTAGAAAGAAACAAGTGTGACAAATCTTCAAAAAGTCAGCAACTTCTTGGAGCCCTAGAAAGTCTGATTTCTCACTGAACGAACTGAGCTGAAATCATAATAGTCAGGATGTATTGGGGTGAGAAATGCAGTGTGGAAAAAAGTCAGCATGATTTTGCTGAGTCAAGACACACTTGGAAAAAAGGTCTATTAAAGCTTATTTAGTTAAGTTAAAGCTGACCTAGATAACATCGCAAAGCTTTCTGCAAAGTGTTTTAAAGTCCCTGAACAAAGACACTACAGAAATCAAGCTAATATTTGAAAAGACTTTTGTTGGGAATTAACAACTAGTTACAAACAGGAAAACTGATCCTTGTTAGCCTCAGTTTCGCAGCAAAATGGGAATACCAGTAGAATCCCACAGCATCTGCACTGCTTATAGTCAGGTCAGCTTGCAAAGGGACAAACTGGAAACAAATTTTGCTAGATACAAAAAAAAAAATCATGGTAGTATTTTACACATGGTATTCTGTGACTCTTTGCATTCGGTTTAACTTCTGGCAGTGACTAGCAAAATGTCAGGAAAAATTAGGTATCAGTAAGTGAATTTTTTGCAAAACAATATATAGGTGGTGGAAAACAGTAACTGTGCAGACAGAATTGCAAGTTCTAAATTAGCTGCTTTCACACAGGATGCAGTGCAGGATTTCTTTTGCATAGGCATCTGAAAACACCATTTCTGTTGTCTATGACAGTCAAAAAAACCCCCAAATAAAACACTAGAAACTATTAATAAAGGAAAAAAAATAAAAGAGAGAATGCTGCTATGACACCTTTAAAATATGCAATGCATCATACAGTCAAAACTTCATACAATTCTCATCCTCCTATCGAACAAGTTCAAAAGCCAAGACAGTAGGAGACCCCCACCAAGTACAAACACAGAGTACAGGTACATTACCAAATGATAGCAGGGACGTCCCAAACACAGAGTATAGGTACATTACCAAATGATAGCAGGGACGTCAGAAGTGTCAAATTTATGGAGAACAGGCCCCTCAATGGATTTTAAACACCAGCATTACTACAACAACCTTTGCTCAGGGTTTTCCTAAATCGGTAGTTCAGCAATCAACTAAAACAGTTCATACACCCCACCCTGGAAACAATAAAGGCTGTAGCTGTCCAGTTGTATTGGTCACTGCATGTCTGCCAGAGCCCTACATAAGGGTTTTCCTCTCGGTCGATTTAAAAAATATGTTTTACTAAAGTTGTAGTTTGGCTTTTCCTGCTATTTGTCACCTGAAACACACTCCTGAGACTTTAAAAACTTTGAATTTAACTCTGTATCTCACAGATTATTACTACTAAAAGTTGGAGTGGATATTTGCTGGTGTAGGGTTGAAAACTGAAGTCTTGAATCTCATTATTCTGACCAGTTAAAAAATAAATAAAGAAAACAAAACAGCAAGTTCCTTACTGTGGCATTTATTTCCATCACTTGAACATAGAAGCAGGTACTCACAAGTACTGTTCATGAATACCCCACATATTAAAAGCCGTTACTATGCAGGCTTATGTCTAATCTTAAATATAATACTCAGCAGTCACAATAACAAGTCCCTCTAGAACCACAAATAGAGGAATCGTACATTGCAGTTGTGGGAACTGTTTGTGGGAATTGTGACATCTAGCTCACATAAGTAGAAGCTCCCACTTTTACACTTATCCACTTGTGTCCCAGGTGGTGTTCGGGGGAGGGGGAACAACACTTACTAGAAGAATACTGTTTCAACTATTTCAGAGAAAAGACCATTGGTATATAACAACATTCTACTTGCTCTTAAGAAGTGGTTAGCAAAACCTGTCCCCAACGCAAATATTCTTACATTATGCGTGTAACTGCAAGGACTTCCAGTTGTTAATTAAATTTATACTTTATTAAAAATGCACAGGACTTCAATACAGTTCCACATTCATACTTAAATTATAAAAAGCACAAGACTTTAGAGTGAAGCAAAGACATTAAATACTTAAAATGAAAGCTACAAAAATAGCAGGCCATATCAGGTCACTTACTTGACAACTTTCCCATACTTTGAAAATATCTGAAATATAAAACAAAATAAAAAGATTTAACAATAGAAAATAGCA